ACTCTTCGCTCAGTCATTTTGTCTTATACATGATCTCTGATCACCACTCATCTGAACTGCTTTTCAACTCACCACTTTTGTTCTCAAAATCCAAAACTATAATTTTGTAATAAATGTTATTTTTTTTGATAAATTAGTCATAATGGATGATCAATAAACTCCTTCTTTTGCCCAAGGTACTCGATAATTATAACTACAATTATAATAATAATAATAGTAATTATGATAGTAATAATAACTGTATATCCATGGAGAACGATGCTAACAATATGGAATTATTATTAAACGACAAGAATAATGACTATTCTCAAGAGAGTGGAACAAATCAACAAAAATGTCTAGGAAAGAAGAAACACATTCGAAGGATAGTTAAGTATATACCATTTACAAAGAACACTATTCATTCAGATGTATCACGAGTATATAAAGTGAGAATAATGAAAAAATGAAATGTTGACTTTTATTTTCACCTTTTCACCTTTTAATTATAGCATCCACAAAATGCTCCAGTTTTTCTTTTGCTTCATTTTTGAGGATGTTAGTAGTCCGTCCACAATAACTTCTACGAACTGAGTTTCTTGGAACATAATCTTACCTAGAACACAAATATCCTAAGATGTCTGCTGGGGATATCCAATTTACCTCACCGATATATACAAAGTAGAACATGGAACTGTGATCCCTTATTTTGAAAACAGAATATGTGAATGAGTTCATCATATAAGACAGAAGTGAACAGATTCACTGCACAACTCTGTGGTCATTATGAAGTTTCAAAGTGGATTTGATGGTATTGGTGAACAGTCTTTACAATATCTTGGGTTATAGACACAGGAAGAATTTGTTCCAAACAGGTAAAATTAACATAAAAATTCTCAGATTTAAAGAAATATTTATCTAACTGGTGTTCTCCGAGTTTCGATACATGGTTGACGATATATCACCATCAGACTTCATAATATCTTAAGTACAGACTTCATCGACGGGTGATATGTACTTAAACATAACTTTCGAATGCATCTCACTTCTCTATGAAAGGTAGCAAAAACTGAAATAGCTACCAATTCTGTCTAGTAAATCAGATATCACAGACAGCGTCCCTGAGTTACAAATCTATCTACCTATTAAGCATGCGTATTGCATTTGGAAACAGAATTTAAATTGTTTGGTGCTGTTTTATAACTTCAGTTGGAGCTTTTATTATTTGTTTTATTGATTTACGTTCACAGTGGAACATAGGGCGCCCCCGAACTAGAGGCTTGAAGTTTCGATAGCAATGGTGTATATTTTTACGGGGTGGGGTTGCTAGCCAGCCTCACGTCCAACCTTCTCTCTTTACCAGTCTTATTACTGATTTAGCAAGGTAAATGAGAGCGTTGGCCTGGAAATGAACCCCGGTCCACACGGGTAATGGTTGGCGGGCCTCCTACCTTTGTGACACCAACGTACTAGAGTTTTTTATGCTCAATGATGATGCCTTGGTTACTGTACTCGGAGCATCCAACTCAGACAAGTTTGTTTTTGAACAGTTTTGAATTTTGAATAGAGTAGAATGTGTACATTGACTCTTTATTTGATTGATGGTCACATTCATGTGAATAAAAATCATTTTGGCTCACTTAATTACTGTTTAAGATCATTATATAACTTTTCCGCAGTAATAAGAATTCACGGAATGAAGCTAAGTAGCTCAAGGCATACCAACTTGATTGATGAACACGGAATTGTTATATAGCCATTTTCTCCACTTGTGAAGTACATAAGATTCATGTAACGATGGCCAGAGAAATGAAAACTGATGGTACATATTTCCTCTGAATACACAGGTTTGGGTGATTTCTTCCTATGGCTTCAGTTGGAGGTAAAAGACGAACTTGTGAAGGAAAATCAAGATTAGTAGGAATGCGACAAATAATTTTAAATGCTGTATTAACATCAACTTTGTGCTCACTATTTGCAGGGTATGCTAAAACAGAGCTAGCTACGAGTAGATCTTGCTTGTCCCTTGCTTAACCACTATGCAGGATGATTTTGGGAAATGCGATGATGAACATGCTCAACTGTTCTCCAGGTATAACAAAAGGACAAAGTGATTAATTTTGCCTCTTCAGTGTGTGTATCTGCCAGTTTGACTGTAGCTGTAGAGCCAGCTATATTTTTTTATTTTTGACTACAGCTTGATTTGGCACCGTATTTTTGGTACAGGTATTGAAATTTCAGCATAGATATCGATAGCCCAAATTTTGCAGGCCGATCATAGATACCAGTTGTGCGTCGGCAAGGGATCGAACCTCGAACCATTTGCATGGTTGACGAGAGTTCTTACCACTGTGCCGCCGACTTAATGTAGTGAGAGCAGGCTGCTAGCCAAATTGTTAGACAATTATTTACTTCAATGTTTATGTCGCAAATAGTGGTCGTGAGAAAGTATGAACAAGACTGTTTCAACAATCAATCACTTGGCGTAGGCAGATACAGTTAACATATAGGTGACGTGACATTCAAGAAACAGTGACAAAGAGATGCAACGTCAACTTTCTATGAGAAACAACCGATCAGAAGACTGTGTTTATCTGCTTGAATAAGCTATAATAATGTACATGAAATATATATGTATAAATACCTGTTGATTTCCTTAGTAAACGATCTGTTACCTGGCCCTTGTCTTCTGTTGTTACAGTACAATTAGGTTGTTTCATTACCTTGTAGATAGCGAGGATCAAGGTGATGTTAATACAGCATTTAAAATTATTTATCGCATTCCTACTAATCTTGATTTTCCTTTACGAGTTCATCTTTTACATACAACTGAAGCCATAGGAATCCACTTGAAGAAGTCAGTGTGTGTTGAGTAGAAATTTGTACAGCTACTTTCGTTACCTTAGCCATCTTTACAAGAATGTATAAACTGGCCTACTTCGCACCTACTCCCCGTAAACCTTTTAAAAAAGTACATAACAATTATTTTTCTTTATTATCGATAATTTGTAAATCATAACGTAAACCTGTGATCTCATTTATCCCAACTTCACGACATCGTAAATTCTTTCTTGTCCTGTCGACTTTTATCCCCTGACGAAATTTGTTTTCCTTTTTTTGTTTCCCTTTCTGAGTTGGATTTGCAAAAGACTATTTTGCGACTATAATTTTAATGGTATTAAGTTTAATTTGAATTTGACAGCTAATAAAGGTCTTTGACGTTTGAAATGATGTGTACCGAGTTCAAAGTTCACTGAAAAATACCGCTCTACCTGTTGGCGATTCAGTTACATCCATCTGATTAATCTGACATAGGACAAAGTGCATCTCCTAACTTCAACTACTAGTCATATTAGGCAAGTTATATCATATTCAGGTTTCAAACGTCTTCTGTGTGTCTGCATAAATCAATCAACTGAAAGTAGCATACAGTTTACACAGGTCACAGCTGTTAGGAATTTACTGTTGGATTAGCAGAAGTAATAAGAAGTCTTGTGCTAAAGGACGTTTTGAGGAGACACACAAACATTTATAAATCACTCCCCCCTACCATGGTTATCAATAATAACCCATACACCATCTTCATTCATTCTAAATGAATACACATTTGAAAATTTTTTGTCCTTCCATGTAGTTATAGAGACGAGATAATCTTTTCTCGACTGGCCAGCTTTGTTCATTTTGGGATAAATGTGGTGACTGACACTAGATGAAAGATTCTTTATTTACACAGACTAATAGCCTACCTAACAAATATTCAAAAGCCTCCTGTTTCTGGTGCATAGACCCAATTCTCTCTGTGGCTCCCTCCACTCAGTGTCCCTTTTCAGAATATTAATTTGTATGTAACGTGACGCTTTACTGGAATACTGTTGTTTAGAAATGTAATCACGAACAGCGACTTCAGTATGTGTTCGGTCAGCGACAGTACAGAATAGAATCCGCACTCAAATGACCTTGAACCAGCCAATAACATCGGTCACCAATATAAACGGATAGTTTTCATGATCAATTTTTCAAACTTCACCCTAATCCTAATTTTCATTGTAAGCCTCACTCAAACCTTCACCCAGAATGAAACTTATAGCGAAGATTATAAAATGCATCCATTTGTAGCGTTAAGTGATCTGATTGACTAATTCAAGGTCATTTGACTGTGATGTCGATTCTTTACTGCTGCCGTTCTATCCTATATGTCAAATGGTATAGATGGTTATATATGTCCGAACCAAGTTCACTTTTAACGGTTTGAAAAATTTGGGCATTGGGTATGTGATACTGATTATAGTAGGGATTTTGTATTTCCCAATGAATGATAGATGGTAAATAATATTGAGGTGAAGCACTGGATGCTAACTAAGGTGAAGGAGTGGGATAATCAGGATACGCGTCACACGGTTGCATTCTTTATGACTCTCATTTTCCCTTCCAGAAGCTCCCCTTTATTAACACTCGCCAGCCACTCACGTGTGTTCTAGTGTTGCAATGCCTGCTGATTCACTCCTCATGCAACCTCATTCAGCCTATAATGAATCCAGTTAAAAATGGAAGGTTGACCGTTAGGCTCCTGGAACTTCATAGCTGAGACATGATGCCTTTTATGCGCCCCCACTTTCATAACGCAAAGGGATAAAATAAAATAAAATAAATGTGATAAAAACAAAGATAAGTTTGTAAATGCCTGATATTATTATTATTTTAAATCTGTGTTTTCTGTAAGCAACTCTCTTTGTCTCTCCACCTATCTCTCATACTCTCTGTCTCTCGCCAGTGTTGACACTAACCTTCTGATTAGGTTTCAAATTTTCCTTATATCAAATAAGTATACGGTAGAAAATCATAAAAGCCTCTTTTACTAAGTAATACTAAACTACTAAAATTTCTACTATGAGATAGGACATTAATTTTGAACCAGTAAAAATAAAATACACAGACATATGTATATATATATATATATATATGGGAAATATTCAGTACAAATTAACCAATCAGATCGCTTATTCCCAATACATCTATCTCTCTGTCTATCGATTCATATGTATATACAGAAAAACAAAGATCAATAAGATTTTCTTGTTTTCTGTAAAACCAGCATTATAATTTTCCTATTTCGCCTATCATATATATTCATATATCCTATATATATATCACATCATATCATATCACTAGTACTTCTATACTCCCTTCTTGAAAGACTAGAGAGACCACCATTTCAATAGAACAGAGTCTACGGGGGAGTGTGGAAGCAACTAAAGGGAGAAGGCGATAAGGAAATCTAACTCTGTATTGTATATCATATTATACATATATATATGCATAATAAATATGAAATACGCAGACATGCATAAAAGGAAATTGTAATAGTAATAATAATATTAATACTCATCATAATGACATGCAATATCATACCTATCTAGAATAGAACAAAGTGGACTTCAATTCACCACTCAAAAATACACTTGTATACACACAGTCTACCATATTTATTTATTGATTGATTGATTGGTTGAGAAGCTTAAATGTACCTAAGGGATCAAGGTTACCCTGTCCTAAGAAATCTCAAAATATGCTATGATATATCAATTACAAAAAAAAGTTGAGCTAAACACTGAGATGTTGTGAAAAAAAAACATCGATTAAAGACACTACACAACAGTCTATTTTAAGCAAATGGAACTATAAACCCTCATGCTTTACTGTCAAGAACATTCATCAAGTGGAATACACAAATACATCTTATAAATACCATTATTATTATTACTATAATTTACAACGAAATGTACTCAGAAAAGTATCGACAATCGACGGATGACGGTCAGGTAACAGCTGAGTCGAAATTGTTGACTAATCAAGAATATACGGCTAGTAGTGCAAATAATAACAATAATAATACTGGTGTCTCTCATCCGTCAAATAATGACAGTACAGAGGATAATAGAAATAATAGCAATATTAATAATAATAATAATGATTTTATGAGATCTATTGAAGAAGGGGATAAGTGTAGTTTGTCTGTTGGTCTAGTGAAACAGGTGGATTCTGATGACACAGTAAGCTGTTTAATTACGTTTTGTTCCGTCTTTTTTGGTTATTAAATATATAATTGATAATTTTATTTATGAGTGTGTGAAATGTAGGGCTTTTAGCAAACATTTGGGTGACAAATTGATTAAAAATGGTTCGGAATGAACGTAGGGCTTCAAGCCAGAGGCGTGAAATTTCGGTAGCAGTAATGTTTATTTTTCGGGGATGAGATTGCTACCCCCATGCTCAACTTTCCTTTTTTTTGCCAGTCTTATTACTGACTTAGCAAGGTTAAGACCTGCGTGGTTGGTGAATATTCCAACGCTATGACACTGACGTACTCTTAGAAGTTAGCTATGAAATTTCTCCACGGGAATTTTTAGTCATCTTTCCTGTTGGCCTTCAAGGTAAAACTTTCATAACCATATCATCATTTATAACTACACAATTTAGAAAGTTTAGTTCCATGGTTTTCTTTACTTCTCCCCACTTCTAACAGGAGTAATAGAATTCAAATATGAGAGAGAAGATTTGTAGCTCAGGTGGACGATTTTGATGTGGTTGTGTTCTCTGATCTGGATAGTTAATTTGCGAAGCTTTCATCGCTCTACTAGGCGACATCTTCAGCGCATACTTCAATTTGAAGTGAGCTTTTAGATTTCTCCACGAGTTTATTAATCATCTCTCCCGGTGACCCTAGACGTGATTGGGTGTTTGTGTGTGTTTTCACACCTTCTGGGTTACTTGTGTGGGAACTGATTGTTTCTTTGACTTCAACTTTGACCCTTTGTGTGTGAAGTTTCTTTCTTATCGGGTGATAAATTCTATCTCGATATGTCTGTTGATTGATGATTCACTGGAATGCCAAGCTTCTAAAACATCTCTAGCATTCTTGTCGTTTCCGTTGTCTAATATTTGAACGTTGGTTGCCCCAGTCGAATTGATGTCCGTGGTTGTCTGTATCCAGTGAGGTAACATAAGGCAGTGGATATCATATCTTTTGACGGCTAGCTTATGTTTGTTGATACGAAGACGAAGGGGACGTCCACTTTGGGCAATGTAGTGTTTTTCGCAGTTGTTACAATTTATTTTGTAGATGATGTTGGTTTTATTTTCTTTCGCTGTTGAGTCTTTTGGTTGACATAGAGCCAGCTGAGTGAAGTGACTTTGTTTGTTTTGTGTACGTCGTCACTTCTTAAAGGTTCGAAGAGTCTTGCAGTGATTTCTGAGATGTCCTTTATATATGGTAAGGCGACTTTTTGAAGTAGAATTTTCCAGTTATCCAGGACGAGTATTGAATCATTTTCGTTGTACTTGTTCTTCCATTATCGATCTCTTCCTCTACCTTGTTGTAATACAATCTCATACTTTCATCTTATCCCAAACTATTTTATCATTTTTATCTAGTCTGAGTGACCCCGTTTTACTGCTTTGACCTGACAATCATTGCAGGGTGTAAGATGAACTAAATAATTTTGTTTAATTAGCTCCACAGGATTCTTTAACCTATATTATTTGTCTCTAAGGGAATTTGTGGGTGGTTTCGATGCCATTTTTACGTCTGTATTGTTATGAATTCTACTTGAGGTTTTTGGAGGTATGTACCTACAACTCGCATTGATTACGACCGGTAAATAGTGTCCGAAATGTTCCAATCGATTGAATAATACTGTTTCACTGTGTGGTATGTATAATAAACAAGTTAATATAGAATTACATACCAGTATAGTGACCATATTTTACACATATAAACTTGATTAAAATGGTGCGCCGTTTTAGTTTTGACAGTATAAACATGAGAATCCATAATCCAGATAGTGGGGTCATGCGTGTTTGGTGTCGAATAAGCTTATGTAACTGTTTTAAAAGCATTTATCCAATTTCCTTTGATTTTTAAGGTTTAAATTATTGATTTTATTTCATGGTAGAATTATCTATGAAAGTGTTATTGTTGTCACCTCAATCAACCCTGCCTGGATTAATCAATATTTTAATTACACTCTCAACTCATTCATTTGGGTATTCAGAAGCAGCTGACCGCTTTTATGTGTGTATTGCTTTGAGTTCTGATTGAAAAAATACTGGGCTTCAGATTTTGAAATTTCATTTCCTAACCAAGTCAGGCTGCTAGAAGCACAATCAACCTTACCTATTTTCATAGCCTATTAAGGGAGTAGGTTAGGGTTAGGAGTGAGTCAACCTCGACTTGAACCTGAGCCTTTCATGTGCCTGATGAGCATTCTATCACTGTACTACTGACGTATGTTAGTCAGATTATAATTGGATTACTACTGTTAATAATAACACTGCTCACTGTGGGTGTTTAAAGTGGAACAATGGGCAGCTTATCCATATTGCACTGTATCCTGTGATATTGCTTTCAGCTGGCTCAAACACTTTCTCAAAGTTTTTCTTTCCTCTATCCATGATCTTCTCCGCGTTAACACCGGATGCCCCAACAAGTCACTCTTATTTCGGTTCCTCCCTGAGGGTCTGGCTGCAGTGTGATGTCACGTGAAGCTATCCTCGGATGTTGTTAATAAATTAGTGTCTTATCTTAAGGCTTTGCTAAAGCGATTATGTGAAATGTGGCCACCCCAGAGACTGACAAAGGAAATGGGATAGCTTTGTGTGACATATCACGTTTATACTGTAAGTCATTGAAATAATAGAAGAGATTTGTAACTCAGGTGGATGATTTGCAATTGATAGTGTTCTCTGAGCTCCTTGGTTTAATTGCGGAGCTTTCATCGTCAATAAATATCTAAAGATGGTTACCGGGAGACTCATGAAGAAATTTAAATCATTTCACTTTATCCTAAATACTGTGCTGAAGATGTCGTCCAGAAAGACGATGAAAGCTCCGCAATTAAACCAAGGAGCTCAGAGAACACTATCAATTGCAAAACTGTAAGTCACTGTTATTATGAAATAAACTCAGGATTGCACTTGAAGCATTTGAAAATGATGCAAACATTGAATTTCCCTCTAGCTCGTTTGGAGTCTAGCCTGAAAGGAGTGCTGAATGACCGAAGTATCTCAAAAGGTTGAGTTTTTCATATCAGATTAGTTTTTACTACCTGCTTATATGCAGACCTGGTGTTAATAATGTCGTTTAATAAGTCCTACATCTAGGATGAATGAACAGAAATACTTTCTAATGGTTCATAGAACTCTCTGGACAGCCACATTATTTCCTCTTTGTGGATACATCGGTTATGAATGAATAGTTTCCAGTAGAGACTCACTTTATCTTTCATGTGTTCTTTAGTGAAGCTAGGGGAAAACCCTTTCTTGATAAACAGGATATCAGGGTAATTAAACGTTCTGTTCCATCCATCAGTCATCTAACAAATTATCTCCCTTACTTCTAAACAGTTTGGTAATTTAAAGCACATTGGTGAGTAGTGACTGGTAAAGGAATCCTTTATAAGCATTTCGTCTTACTTTGGGACTTCTCATCAAGATGTATCTGCATTCCTCAGTGAGTGGTGATGTTCTCATTGAGGTTTGAACCCAGTAACTATAGTTTCAAACGTCAAAGCGTTATCCACTAAACAACTTGAGCCACAACAGGTACCCCTCGTGCAAAGGATGTTAGTAATACTTTATTCTCGTGGATGAAGCGGTCTAGTGCATAACGCTATGACGTTTGAAACCATAGGCACTGGGTTCCAGCTTCGGCGGGAACACCATCACTGACCCACTGGGGGACGCGGATACGTCCTGAATTCCACGACTTGTCACCATTCACCAATTTACTAATGTTTTAACAATCACTTATCTTCGGAGCATCTGCATAAGCAACCGACGTGTCAACATGAAGCCGACTTAAGAAATAAGTTACACTGAAATCGGTAATGATGTTTTGTGCTCTTTTCTCTCTATTGGAGAAGATTCCGGGCTAAAGTGGATGATTTTAGAGATGTTACTTCCACTGAACTTGGCGATATATTAACAAAAACTTCACTGGCCTTCTGCACAACATCTTCATCAGTAACTTCACAATGAAGCTATCCACTAGGATGATAAAAGGTCATTCTTTTAAATCACCTAACTCATAGCATACAAAACGACACTAAAAAAATTTTCCATTACATATTTGTTGTATATGCTCATAAAATCTGCTATACCTTATATAAAACACTATCTAGTGATTACACTGCCTTAGTCCTGGTTCACTCACCCATATAATATATGAAGAAATCATTGCTAAAGCTTGTAGAAGTATGTTGATTCCCTGCACAATTCAAAACACCAAGTCATCAGGATGCTTAAAAGCCGATAATCGATAAGCCTTCATGGTATGGCTTGACAGCTTCCCGATTTTGATAACTGCCTATGTTATTATTCACTTGGATTCTGAGTGGAACATCGGGGGTCAGCAGCGCACCTCTCTTTCATCCGGTCCTCTGCTGCACGCCATTTTACCCTCAGATAGCCAGTGATCTCCTCATTTCTCATCTGAGTGGTACTCTTAGTTATTTTTATTTTTTATTTTATTTTTTTATTTTTGATTTACAGCTTGATTCCACACCGTATTTTTGGTACAAGTATGAAATTTTCAGCGTGGATATCGGTAGCCCAAAATTCGCAGGCCAACCATAGATATCAGGTGTGCGTCTGCGTGGGCTCGAACCTCGGACCCTGTCCATGGGCTGCGAGAGTCCTAACCACTGTGCCACCGACCGCTTCATCCACGAGAATAAAGTATAACTAACATCCTTTGCACGAGGCGTCCCTGTTTTGGCTCAAGTTGTTTAGTGGATAACGCTTTGACGTTTGAAACTATAGTTACTGGGTTCAAACCTCGATGAGAACATCACCACTCACTGAGGAATGCAGATACATCTTGATGAGAAGTCCCAAAGTAAGACGAAATGCTTATAAAGGATTCCTTTACCAGTCATTACTCACCAATGTGCTTTAAATTATCAAACTGTTTAGAAGTAATGGAGATAATTTGTTAGACGACTGATGGATGGAACAGAACGTTTAAGTACCCTGATATCCTGTTTATCAAGAA